GAGGTCATATTCCAGAAAGTAAGTACAAAAGCAGTTTGGTCAAGCAAACACAAACAAAACTGATCAATCACTAGGTAGAGTAACTGTGTTCCCTGTATAGATGTTAAACAAGGGTCAGACCAATACCTGTAGTCCAAAGTTGGAGATGAAGAGCAATTTCATTAGCTCACAATGTCTAAGCCATCGTAGTCATGTGCGATTTGTGACCCAAGCCTGGCCCAAGCCAAGCCTTACACAATAGCTCTTAGCAAAAAGGGGTCCATGATACATTTTCCCTTTCCACAATCACAATACATATCCTCCTGGCTTGGGTTAGAACAACATGTTTTTTGGGTTGTGGACAGAAAAGCACCCAAAAATACAGAACCTTTACGCGTTCCATGGCCATAGTGTTTTATAGGGAAAATAACTCCTGAATCTTACTACAGCAAGACAGAAGTACTAGCCACCATGCTACCCTTTCAGTTGCAAAGAGACTTTATTGTTATAGCATGTTATTTTACAGTGATTTAACCTTTAATTAGGGACACATGAATTGTAATTATTGGCACTGGTTAGCCAATCAATTGTAGGATGTTTCTGTTACATCAGCCGCTTGCTGGGCTCTGTCCAAACATTCCTTCACGGGACATGTATAATCCTGCTCTGGAACATGACAGCTTTAGGTTTTATGACCAGAAAAAGAAAATAATAAACATTAATTAAGCCAGTAAGGAAACCATATGCTAAGGTGGGAAACAGAAGTTTATGCCTGAAAGCCAGACTGCCATTAATGAAAGCTTGGCTGGCAAGATGACTCCTGTGGTTTCTGCAAATGTAAGTTACAGGCATTGGGTGCTTTGTTAGCTGTCAGTGGCAGTAGTGGGATACTGTCAAATGTATAAAAGAATTGCACAGTAAAAGGGTTAGTCCACTCAAAAGTGATATTTTGGTTTTAGGTGGGACATGTTTTAGATGCTCCAACAGCAAGTTCTCCGTGCCTTAAAAGAGAACTATGGGGTGAGTGTTTTTCCCTATAGTTCTCTTAAGGGTCACAGGAGGACATGTACTAGCATCCTCCCGTGACCCAATGCTCAGTATATCGCGAGCAACAGCTCGCGGTATACTGAGACCGCCGCAGCCGAGACGGATCCCAACATTACTGTCGAGATCCAGCCAGCTGTGTGAGTGACAGCTGGCTCTGCCTATCTAGAGACAGAGGCAGCTGTGCCCGCCCCCTCCCCCATCCATTCCTCCAGTCAGCGCTGGAGGATCGGAGAGGGGGGAATCCCTGCAGGAAATTGTGACTGACAGTCATTGCTCTTTGCAGGCAGATGATCAAGAAGTGAGCGAGCGCCGGTATGTGTTCCCTCACTTCCTGATCTATTGAGCCGACCTGTGACAGGTTCATTGTCACAGGTCGGCTAGAACTATGAGGTGAGTGAAAAGCACTCACCTCATAGTTCTGCTTTAAGTATTTTTGTACATGGGTTTGAGTGAAAAAAAGGCGAGTGGTCATAAAACACTGTCAGATTTAACTAGTCAAAGCAAAGTACCAGTTACATTCTGAAAATGCCCTTTAACCCTTAACTTAATGCCCTTTTAAGAAAAACATTAAGGGCCTAGCTGCCTGTCTGTCCTCCATTGCAAAGGAAATTTTCTATTGACACAGAACACTAATTGCTTTCATAGCTTCATATAGTGTTCCTAAACTGCATATTAATTCATTTTATCCATATTTTCTTTTTCAAATGGTATCATCAAGGGAAATCACAAAAAATACTTGGTCTTCTATGGGTATAGTTATACCCTTAGGTACATAGATATATAATTCACAGCTTGTTTCAAAGAGTAACCAACCTGATAAGTGATGGTAGCCACTCTACACTGTATAGACCATCATAGAGGCATTGGCAGCATGTTTTGACTCTGCTTGATGTGTGACAAAGATCTCTTTGGTGAGGCCAGATGAGTCTTTAAAGATATGGAGCAGAGCAATTATCCTAAAAGGTTTCTAATTAATTTACTCTCAATGCCGGCTTACAGAGTGCATAGCAGTTCCCATCTCTTTTCTGTTTGTTTACTCCTTGAAACCGTTTGTTACTTATACACTTCCATACTGTAAGTGCAATTGCTTAGCATTTTTCTATTATAACAAATTGTTCTGTACAATCCAGTTTGCTGTGTGTTTTCTGTTTCACAATCTGCATAAAACCAGCTTGATTCAGCTGGTCAGAGCCTGCATTCATACTAAGGCTCCATTCATTCCAAGTTGAAACCAATGATAGATAGGCATGGGTGATGTAAATTCACAAGGTTGTTCTCAAACCCAAATACCATAAAAAAAAGCTGTGAAACCTGGGAGGTGCCACACCTTAATAAAAGTAAAAACAGATAATGAGACAGAGTTTAGAAGGACAGGTGGCTATTTTAGGCCCCCGACTTGTCAGGGCTGGAGTGCAATACACTGTGATCTCAACAAACACAAGAAAGGCCTTCAAACAATCACCAATCTAGTTCTTCGATATAGAAGGTTATCGCATTGTTTTCCTGTGATAGATGTGCAAATAGAACTATAGACATAGCAGATAAAAGCTTTACTCTTGTGTACAATGGAAGTAATAATCATACATTCAATTAAATGATCCCTGTAATCCAGGTGTACCTGTGATGATATATGTAATTATGCCCCGGTGTGTATTTGTCCAGTCGTATGTTAACATGGCACTGCTATACCTTTCCTCTCATGTTTAGTGTGTTTCAGAATCACTGTGAAGCTCTCATTCTAAATACCCCCCATAGTATATGTATGTGTTTTTTTTTTAAAGAGACACTGTTACATCATAAAAAGATTTCAGTGAAGGATATGCCTAAAAAAAGAAAACTGATTACTTACCCCTCCTGCTACCTGTGTCACTGAATTCTGCTCCATTGCAGAGAACTGGTCCCCTAAAGTCAGCTTGGAAACTGATAATCTTAGGACTGTCAATATCCTTGGTCACCCGCAGTTCTTGATGGTTCATCTTGCTGTCTTCCATGGTTTTACTTTCTCCGGCAGTGATGTGAAGGTCAACAGCAGGAACCAGTGAGAACAGTGGGGAACCATGGGGAAGGGGACATTATCATCCTTGGTTTGTAGACAGCCAGAAGCATGACATTTCTGGTTAACTCTTAGAAATAAAAAAGGAATACATATACTGATAATGGAATAGCAACATACTCTCCAGGCTGACTCCGCACTTGGGAATTTTTGCTTTGAATTCAGCTGATTCAAGCAAAGCTAGTTACCAGACAACAGAGACCTACTTGGGTATGGCTGGACTAAGGCTGACCATACAATCTGAACTAAATGATTCTCCTTTCACCTTACATACACATCTACTTATCATATACAATTATTGCCTAAAGGCCTGTAAAGGAGAGTCATCAGATGGATGGAAAATTCCAGCTTATCAAATTGTTATTTGACATGAGTCTGGCAATAAGTCCCAACAGACTCCGAAAGCAAATCTCCATGTATAATATATTGGAAAAAAATGATTACGGTGATTAGTAAATCGAATGCCAACACATAATATTTTTCCTCCAAGGTCAGCCAGACTCAGTATGTGCACAGATCACAGGATTTCCATAAGCAAATACCTGTTCCCTAAATCAACCGAAATCAGCTAGATAGATCGTAATATATTCTTCACTGACAGAAAATGTTACAATAATCTAGAATGCTGGAGGATCTCTGTAAGTGAAAGTGTGCTATTTCAAGTGCATCGTATCTTTATACACATCTTTATACGCAACATTATCACAATTGATGCCCAGACTGGTTGAATCACTTGGAAAATTCCAAGCATGTGTGGGAGGCCTACCAACACACTTCTATCATTGTAGGTCGCTTTGTAAATGCAACAATTGTGTTCCACATTCTGAAGTGTGTATCCTATAGATCTCATCCCAAGGCCAAAAAAGACAATGGGGATGTGTTGACAAGCCAAAACTACGGGGCAATAAACTAAGCAACACTAACAATGTTCAAACAAAAAGAAAGTATGGGAGCAGCAGTTAAACAAGTTAAAGTGTTAATTAAATATACATTTTTGGAAAACCAGAGATAAAATGGAATTTAACTGTAGAAACTAGCTGCAGGTTTAACTAATCACAATGTCTGAGTACATAACAATATACACAATTCACCTAAAACAGCAACTACTCCAACCAAAACCTGCAAGAGCTTAGTTATAGGTAACCTGACACAGTTCTAGTTGACCTGATGCTTAATAAAAATCAAATCCTAAAGATGCAAAACAATGCTCGACTAATATTAGATTTCAGTTAATATAATCTCAAGATAATTTAGACAATTTCATTAGCATAACAATACGTTGAGTTGAATTTTTTACCAAGGAACTAAATTACTAATACATGCCAATGCTAACTGCACATAAATGTGCAGAAAATAGTGAAATATTCCAAGTGAAGAGACCCATTGCAACCAATGGAACCAATACTGGGACATGATGGCATTCTACTGGCTCAGCAATGGGTTACTCAGGTCTGCTGCAAAGTCATTGCAATAAAATAACCCAAGGTCTTACACAGGCTAAGATAATTCCATCTCTTTCAGGTAACTCTCTGTACATTGTGTAAAGACTGTGCAAAGACTCCTTGTCAGACTAGGACAGTGTATTGTGAGGTCTACCAACATCAAATGGTTTATTGAAATACAGTGTAGGGCAGTGTAGAAAGAAAAGGTATCAGATGCTTATTGACAATTTGCCGATTATGTGGGTGACAATGAAAGCAGTTGGCTGTCACTCCCTTTTATTTAGGCTCATCAGTCAAAAGAAAAGTCATGTAACAAACTGATGGGCACTTAATGAACCATTGTTGCCTTGTTTATCGGTGCCATTAGACATGATTAAAAGATTAGCTATACACAGAAACAGTCGATATACACAGAAATGTGCCAACACCATCAAACATGCTGTGCAAGGTGCAAAGAGAAAACTTGAATGAAGTCCTACCTGTGCTTTGTGGGTTTAGAAGCTCTCTGTGCTAAAATTCAGATCTTGTTTTCCTAAGTACAGGTGTGTCTGTATTAGCTGCCTCCAGAGCTGTCAGCAAAATGTGACTCAGTTCTTCTACCTGTACAAGTACAGACTGAAATTGTTGCTGAAAAAAGCCAAGCCCAGGTCTGAAGACTAGGTGGAGCCGAGCGTGCTGTGGCCTTTAGGGCACTAAACAGGTTTGTCCTCCAAATTCCTCGGTCCTCGTCTTTCTGTGTTACTAAGTGGGCATAGCTGCTACATTCTTCAAATTCTCACTAAAGTCGTCATTGTGGGCCTGGTATCCTGGAAACAAACATCCATCACTTTTTTTTTGTCAATATTCTCCCATGGTTAGGTTGAAATGTTTTATCACCTGAATTGTTCATTTAACATCGCTTATAGATTTTTCCATGAACCTGTTCTACAGCTTTTAGGAGACCAGAGTAGCAGACCAGAGTTGTTTGAGTATTATTAAATAAAAGAGCCCTTGACATTAAGATCATGAAGTATCATGGCAAATATTTTAGCAATGGGTCTAGGAATGTGTCATAATTGGTGCCAATCAAGGTAAATGTGATTTAGCTGGGAAATAATTATTTACTGCATACAAACAGCTGGAAACTATTTTTAGTATCTACAGAGATTTTAATGTTTGTATAGCGATTTTTTGGGGGGATAGAGTAGGGAAGGGTTAGTACCCCCGTCAGGTGTTTATAGCTTAAGAGCCCATTCACACCAGGGCGGTTGCGGATCAGCGCTGTTACTGCGCTGATCTTCCAAGGGAGGTTTTGGGAGTTTTTTCATTAAGTTTTAATTGTGTTACAGCGCTGAAACACAATTAAAACGCCCAAAACCACGCTGGTCCGCACGGTTCCATTGATAACCTGCTGGAAATCGCACTGATCAGCGCAGCAAAATAGTGCACGGAGCAGATCCGGTGGCGGGCTTTTCGCATAGCGCGGACGCATGAACGGTCCTCATAGCAATGTATGGGATCGTTCATGTCGGCGGATCCGTGCGGCCGAACTGCCCCGGTGTGAACAGCTTCTAAGGGATATGAAGTCACAAACACTCCGGACATGTAATTGCATCTTACAAATTTATTGTGCAGGACAACGTCACAGACCTACAGTATATGCCTATATGTTGGGCCCTCGCAGGGTCCCTTCTTTCCAGGCAACATAGAGTGACATTGGCGTGACGCCATCGAAAGCTATCACTTCGAGCGCCCACCTATTATTTGAAGGTCTAGCACTATCTGGAGTGCAGCTTCATATATGAACTGAATCAGGTTTTTACGGTCGTCTTCTCCGCTGGGGAGATTCACTCTCTCTGTCTGTGACCATTGTCACTGGGACTGAATTTGATGGGTAATCCCAAATGTTACAGTTGTCATCACAACATACTTTCTCTCCACACATCTATGGCTGTTCTTTGGCTTTTCTCTTAATCCAAAAAGCATATTCTGGCAGATTATCTGGCATCTAACCAAACTCTCCCAGTTATGTGTGGGGTTCTACCTATAGTAGGGAGATTTGGTTGTGAACTACTCTAAGGCAGGGACTGATGTTAGATCATACTTACCTGATTTTGGGTATAAAAGGGACAGAAACATTGGTCATCCACTTGTCAGGGCAGTTAAATGTCCGGACATGATCTGACAGCTCCAAGGCTTATGTGTCCCTTAATCATTTACACACATCTGTGCTGAGCATACATGTTTATGCCTATGGAGTGGGGAGGAGAATCCAGACCTTTGATCTGTCTGGTCAGTCTTTCTACCCTGCGATTGGGCAGCTTATTAGGACCAGCATTACTATAAGAAAACACTTCTTTTCCTACAATAGGTAGTGATTAGGCTATCAGCCAATACACACATCTCCATAGAGAATCATTGATCTGATTTTATAACAGGCTCTATTTGGTTTGCTGTCCAAATAAAAGCAAGTTCAAGGAAACTTAGAGGGAAGTAACTGCCATAGCTAACCTTTTCTTCTGGTGGCTTGTTGTCATTCTGATCCATTGTCTTCAGTACCTTTTAAATCACTGTATGTATTAGGGCCGGTTCACACCATAAACAGTGCGTTTATGACACTGATGTTCAGGTCCAGCCATGCGTTCTGGTGCAGGCGATCGCACTGTTGGGGTTGGGGTGCCTGTGATGCCACAGACTGTAATGCACTGCCACGCCCCCTCCCCTGAACGCAGGAACTGGACGAAATGCGATGCAGTGCGTTCCAGAGGCTGACCACTCTGGAATTAAGTTCTGACTTTACTCTGACTTTCCTGGTTTGCATGCTTGTTTCAGATGAGTGTCATAAAGCAGACCTCAAAATTTCCACTCGCCCCCTCGCAATTGGCGTGTGAAAATAGCGTGGGGGTGAGTTGAATGTCATCGAAGGGGTGCGCCGCTGGCAGGACCAGGGATGGAACACTACCGCCGTGGTGATCGTTAGCTTCTATTCTCTCTTCTCCTCCTCTATAGCTGCAGCTACAGAGCGGCCGAGGAGGAGAAGAGAGAATAGAAGCTAAAGGTCGTCCCATCCCTGGTCCCGCCGGCAGCGCACCTCGATGACATTCAGTTCTGCTGTCTTCCCTGCGGCTGTCTTCTGCTGGTTCCTCTGCCCACCTCATCTGCCATAGGCTGGGAGGAAGACTGCAGAGACAGTGAGACACCCGGCCAGAAATGTAGGCAGCGCGGGAAAAGAAAGTTTAATCTCCCTACATTCAGGATTTCTATACCGCCCCCCACCACCACCACCACCACCACCAGGAGAAAGAAGAGGGCACCTGAATACCATCAGCTAAGTGCACTGTAAGTCCCTTCTCTTTTTTCCTTACACCGCTGACCTCTGCGCTGGGCGTCACACTGGCCTCTGCGCTGCTCATCACACTGGCCTCTTCGCGTCACACTGACCTCTGTGCGTCACACTAACCTCTGTACTGTGCGTTACATTACTGACTTCTCTACCATGCGTCACACCGCTGGCCTCTGCACTCTGTTTTGTTATTGATTTCTGTACTGTGCGTCACAACGCTGGCCTCTGTATTCAGCATTGCACCACTGACTTCTGTACGGTGCGTTGTTACTGATCTCTGTACTCTGCGTCACAACGCTGACCTGGCAGATTTAAGGCTGGGGTAGGGGTTAGGTGGGGCAACTGGTGGCAAGTAATTTTTAAGGCCTGGCTAGTAGCTCAGGACTTGACATTTTGAGCCCTGTCATATAGTATTAAAGCCAGAGACAGCCAGACATTTTCGAAAGAAGGTCATCAATAGGCACCCTTTGTATATGCTCACTACAGGCATCCTTAAGGCCCCGTTCACATTGAGCGATTTATCGCGCGATTTTTGTAGCGATATCGCTCATATTTCCGCACTATATCGCTCTATGTAGCTTCACCAATACAATTCAATGTAGCTGTTCACATCTCGTCGCTCAATGTCGCTCAATATCGCTTGTAGCTCGTCGCTGGTAGCTTGTCGCTTCTACATGACCCTTTTTTAGAGCGATTTTGAGCGATATTGCTCCTGATTGCATACAGCCCAATAGGAAGATGTCGCTCAATGTCGCTCAATGTCGCTCAAAGTCGCGCAATTTGCATGTCGCTCAGTGTGAATGGGGTCTTAAGGGTACATTGACACGAGAAGTCAATGTGCCACATCGCACGCATTTTTGAGTGTTGAAGTACATTGCGTTAGGCTGCTCATTCAAAACGAATGGGATGTAGCACACCTCAAGGCACGATCCTGTTACGGTTACAAACTGAAACCCTTCTCATCAGCCCATCTTGTCAAATCTTTTTGCAGCACAGCTCACCAAATGTATATAAAGGGGAATTTATCAAAACAGGATCAGACAGAATCTGAGAGCAGTTACCCATGGCAACCAATCAGCTTCTCTCTTTTATTTTCAAAGCATAACTGAACAAACTAAAGAAAGAAGCTGATTGGTAACTATGGGCAACTGCCCCAGAATTTGTCTGCTCCAGTTATAATACACTCCCCCTATTGTGAATTGTGGTGAGCTGCAGTATGTTGCAGTGCAGGCGTTGTGCACTAATGTGTGCACGGGGCACCTCCACATGGGAAAAGCGAATTCCTGTTTACGTTGAATACCCAATCAAGCAAAGATGCAATAAGTAAAGAGTCATTTGCTTTTAACAAAATTGGATAATAAAAGTGAATATTCAAGAAGTTTATGGTGTGGTGATGCATAAATAGGAACTTTAACCACCAATGTAATGTCTCCCAAAACAGTTACTTTCAAGGCATGCCGACTGTCAAGAAGACTAGAAAACACAGAACACATTGGCCTCCACTGAACCTCCATCTGATGAAAGTGGGGTGTAGCCCTGGAAATGCGTCAGCCATTCTCACTGTTAGCTGATCGTCAAAACGCGTTAGTGCTGGTGGTAGTTTTCAGATGTTACACCATTCCTAATCCACCTGGTCCACTGATATTTTATATGCTGACTAACTCATTTATGCGAGTTGCATTCATGTTAGACATGTGCGATTCGTTTCATTACAAATCAAAAGTGAGAGGAATTTTCAGAAATTCGGAGACATCTGCATCCTAATGTGTCCGACTCCGAGTTTCGTTCAAAAACAAAACCGAATGGGGCATGTCACTTTTCTGGCCAGTGTTTTTCGGTTTAATGCATCCGAATGGGTCTGAACACGAATTTTCGTTACGGCAACATGGGAGCCATCTGATTGGCCAGAAGAGTCACATGCCGTAATGAAAATCCGTGTTCAGTATATACATATAATCAGGGCTCGAAAAATCCACTCGTCTGTGACGAGCAGAAGGTGGAGCCCGACGAGCAGCTTCCCGGCCGGCCGTTGTAATTACACGGCCGGCCGGGAGCTTTACAGTCAAGCGATCGAGCGTCTCGAGAGACGCTCGATCGCTTGTGTCAGAAGCTGTCACTGCCGTTGCCGGTCCCGAGATCCGCTGTGCCCGATGCGGCCGGGCTCTGTGACAGGAAATCAAAGGGAGTTCAGTATACAAACTCCCTTTGATCTCCTCTCAGTCCCCGAATGCAGGAAGTGATGTGATTATATATATTATGTACATTACTAAAGCGGAGTCTCCCAGACCCGAATGGCATTTATGAGTTCCCCAATGCAATTCGGAAATTCCGATCCTGAATGCCATTCGGGTCTAAGGGATTCAGCTTTAATATTAATATCTGTATTTGGCTGTTTTAATTGCAACGCATATTCGTAACCTCATCCAAAACTAACGAAATTCTGATTACGTCCAAATCCGAAATCAAATTGAATTTTGGATCCGAATGCCGAAACGAACCAAATTTCTCCGCAGCTTACATGTCTAATTCATGTTTTATATACAATCAACAGTGTTACGTGCTTCACAAGGTCAGTGCGCTCTGGGTTTTCTCGTGTACTATGCCAGGCTGCCGATCTGTCACAAGGGCTGCCTGCCGTGATGTCTGAAAGAGGACGATGGATTACTGTGTATACAATTGTGAGCTAAATAAGTTGTGATCACTGATTGTCTGAAGTGCAGTTCTGCTTCTGAGGACTACAGAACACATGCCCCATGTTATGGGGAAGAGGAGAGGGGGAGGTTTTCTGTATTCCTGAGGTGACAATGCTACCCCTGCACAGATACAGTACAGTGAGTGAATGTTGTTACCCTAGAACAGAGAATTAATTACTGGCAGGATCACCATTACAAAAAAAAAAGAAACCTACTGCAACCACCACATCCAAGGAATTTAAGCATTTTTGTACATGAGTTTGAGTTAAAAAAAAGGCGAGTGGTCATAAAACACTGTCAGATTTAACTAGTCAAAGCAAAGTACCAGTTACATTCTGAAAATGCCCTTTAACCAGGACCAGGAGGTGCAATTTCGCTGTTACTTCATGGAAAGCTCAGGTATAACTAACCAATTTTAATAAGTCATGTTTCCATGTTCTCAATATAGAATGAACGGTGCAAATACATCCGCAAGTGGGAACATTTATTTAATTATATTTCTCAATAGCCACCAACGACATAAATCCACTTTGTGTGCATCAAATGCCTTTTTAAACCCAGTTATTAACTTGTCAACGTAGCAGTGACATCATTCTTATACAAAGAGGAGGTGTGAGAGGGGCCCAGCGGGCTCCGCCCATTACAGGCTGCCATCAGAAAACTACAGGAGGGGGCAGAGTCAAGACCAGTCACCCTGCACAAGGAGAGAGAGAGCAGCAGTGACCGGTCTTTATTACAGGAAGAACAGTTTTAGACTGGATTACAGCACATATCTAGGAGAAATACACAAACCACACCAAGTAAGATCACAAATGCTTCTTGAACTTAGACAATATTTTAATAACCAAGTTCAGCTTTCAATTATAAGGCAATGGCATTTTTTCAAGAAACTGTTTATTAACAATAATTAAGAAAATTATTCAATATGAACATATACAGCTGAGGAATGGTGAAGTAACATAACAGTAGTTGCTTAGAAACCTTATACATAACATGAACAGTCAAGGGACAGTCCAGTAACATTGATATGAAGTATTATTTACACTTAAAGTGAACCCACACCAGGCAATAAAACAGGTTTATTTTATGGCAGCGTGTACTTGCCTTCCCTGTGCTCCTGTCCATCATATCGTTATAGGGAGCACGTGACACTCTGAATGATGCTCACATGAGCAGAGGGAGTCGGCATAGCCCTGTGTAATATCCAATTAGCTAAGCCAGTTGAAATTCACATAGAACTCTCAGGCAGCTTAGTGGTGGCTAGTGAAGCACAGGGAAGGTTAGGTGACTAAAGTCTCTCTTAAATGAGTGTGGAGAAAAAGGCTGCCATTTCTGACCTCTTTCTGAAAATGCAAATTGCCTGGTAATCTTTCTGGCTTGCTGACTTAAAATAGAATGCTGTAGGCAAAAGCAAAAAATTAAATACATGTTGAAGTCTGCCAACGGAAATAAAATAGCATTTTTTGGTTTTGCAGTAACCCCCCCCCTCCACCCCCATAAGCTATAAGTGTACCCGTTGATCTTGCCACTAGATCAGTTACAATATCACTTGCATTAACAGGGTGACACTGCTGCTGATTCTGCAGTGAATTAACTGCAGCGTTGTCACCCTGTGCTGCAGCTGTTAAGACTACAGTGGTACATAGGGAATGGACAGACTAACAGAGTTGTCACTGCTAGACACCTGCCTCATCCCTGCCGGTCAGTAGTAGGACCTATACCTAAAGCACAGCTTTAAGTATCTGCTAGCAGTTTGCCAACACAAAGTCCCGGTAAGTTTCGCCACAGCAATCATTAGTAATAACAGCTGAAAACATTGTTAGCACGGATTATTACAAAAGGCTTAAATAATATATCTTGAAAGAGTAGAACCTTTATTTCACACCTCTCCTACTTAAGTCTCATCAACCCACAGATCTGATGGGAAGTGTAGTTTTAGGAAGTACTGTTTAATCCCACCTATCATCTGCTTCTCTTTCAATTTGTGATCGGCTTAAAGAGAGCATTTGAAAGGAAAAGAAAAAATATACCTATATAAAATGACAATGCCTTATTATAACACAGATGGCAAACACACAGGAAGCTATAGAATATGGACTAGTACATGCATGCAGCCAGCGAAGACATTTGCAAACTTGACCCACAGTAGAGTAAGCACTGGAATAATTCGATTAGAATGACAGCCAGGCAACTGGCATTTGCAGAAGTCAGCAATAGCAGCCTCCATAATATCTCAGCATAGATTTCCCTGCTATGAAACTTTATTTTAAAGAGCACTTGTCCCTTTTCAAACCTCCTATAAGTTTGATAAGTTATAAATATTGTAATAGACTAACACCCTTATATAGCGGTCCAGATACGATAACTGTATTAGCAAAGTCTATATGTCTTCTATGGAATGGCCATGTGGTGAAAGGAATGTTTCAAGGCTCAAGCCACTGTTCAAACCCATTTTTAATGTAGGACTGATAATTGCCGGAATGGTGGAAGGTTTCTCCTAGGGGCGACTCCTAGACATTGCTTATAATCATTCTGTCACCCTCATTCATTAATGTGTGTTGGAAGTTGGTCATTGTCTCTTTGATAATAAGGCAGCAGTGGCTTTTGAGCCCTTCATGACAAGATGTCATAAAAGCCTAAATGTCCAGGGCAAATTTAACAGTGTCAGTATGCATTGGTTACCTTGGCAATATCTCTAGCCGGAGATGTGCAGTTTTCAGTGACATCACAGTCATGAAGCAAGTAAGCGAACACAACGTACAGTGTTGTTTTCTGTACAAGGGTTTGCCTACTACAACCCCTTTCACGCGGTCCAATCAGAAGAGGATCCGTTCATGGATCCCTTTCTGATTGGAACAGATGTCACCGTTGTGAAATCCATGTCCGTGCAGTTTTTTCCTCCATTGCAAGGTGGAGGAAAAAACTGCACGGACATGGATTTCACAACAGTGACATCTGTCCACCTGAAAAAAAATGACAGGCGGACTTGATCGGAAAGCGCTTGAAAGTGGCCTACTAGTTTAGTGATTACGCTGGCACTGACAGCTCTAGATAGAAGCTTGTTTACAAACAACAGTGATCACCATTATTATTTGTCATGCTGATCACGTGATCAGGGAGCATGAGGATTGGTTCCCGTTGGCTATTGGAAACCTGGAACTGTCAGGTACACATTTCTAGTTTTTGGATGGAATGCAAGTAACATTCTCATGGCACGGGGAACTATGTCTGAGAAAGTTAATATACAGATTGTGCACATATGAGAATTATACTACCTGTAGGTATACCAAAGGCTGTGGCTCTAAGCTTTTAAAGCGGAGTGAAATCTGGGCTACAGTAAAACTATTTTTATTTCTGCTTTATCAACTCGTATTAAACAAGGATTTTTGTATCATACAACAGACAGTGCTACATTGTCTATGTATAATGCAACTAACATTGATGAAACTTTCAGTCAGGGTGACATATGCAGAGGGAAATATGCAGGTTGCCATTGTTGACCTCCTTCTAAAAATGCTACTTGTCTGGTATTGATGACGTTGCTGACTTCAGTACTTTCTGAGTCCATAACCTAGAACATACATGCAGTCATTACTCCATATTACCACACTTGTTCTAGGCCAGTGACATAATAGTGAAGTATTGAAGAGGTTAGAACAGCACAACAGTCATGCAGCTAGCATTTTCAGGAGGGCAGGTAAACAACTGACTTCCATATTCCAGCAAAGGTATCTTTATAAAAACATACCGTCACCGTGCCAATTTAGGACATAGTGACAGTGTCTCTGCAACCAGGCAGTATGCTATATGCAGACTTTGGGTCATAGGAGTACATTAGTAAATGTTCTTCTGTGACCCAAAGTGAAGTAAAGCCTACAAAAGGTTTGGCTTCACTTTTCTTTAAGCTCTGATAATATCTGTAGTACCAGATGCCTGGTTCCTGCAATATTCGATTTTCAACATTGTATCCACTCAGATTTCAACCTACACCAAACGGTGCTACAGTACAGATTACACTTACTTAGGACAGGCTTAATATGAAGACTGCTTTCAGCGACTACAAACAGCACTTTAAACTTTATTGCATGAAATATTCAACCACTTGGTGTGTGACCAAGTGTTTTCTGAAACTGTTAAAAATGATAAGCAGAACCTAATGTCCTACCATATGTTAAACAAAATGACAAAATCTCAAAGAGAGGGTGTAACTGAAACCTAACTTGCTTTTCTCAGATGTGGATAACTCTGGACGGTTCTCTCGATGGCCTTGTCCAGGCTGACCACGGGTTTGTATGCCATGTCTTTCTTGGCACGTTCACAGCTGTAATAGTGGTAGGTTCCAGCCAGTGCCACCCTCATTGGTGTAAATGTTGGCTTAATTTTGAGGATTGGACTAAGAATGAACACCAAAAGGGACACAAACAAAGCAAGGTAGTAAGCTAGCCAATAAGGAATCTTATACTTGGGGGCGTCGTAATTCAGACCAGTTAGAATGCGGGAAATGAATGTCCAAAATGGAAGGGGTTCATCATTTGTGATATGGTAGGCCTAAGAAACAAACATAGTGTTAGAGAAAAACATATATGGTATACATCAAATAGCACTATATTTGAAAGGTTTATGTTGGCTGGTGAATACAATTGTTCCTAAGCTTATTCAAATGGGAATATCTTCATGATCATGCTGTGATTTTGGAATTGTTCTATGTGCAGTTACATCTCTGTCACCTGAGAAAACAGAAGTCACTTCTTTCTCTTGTAAAGTCTAACCTCCTAATATGCAGTGAGGGAAAGTTATCAAAACTGGAGCAGACAGAATCGGGAGCAGTTGCCTATAGTAACCAATCAGCTTCTTCCTTCAGGTTTGGTTTGAGATTTTATAATGAAAGAAGCCGATTGGCAAGTGCTCCAGATTCTATCTGCTCCAGTTTTTAGACATTTGCCCCACTATATATAGAGTGGGGGCAAAGCGCATAAAAAAAAAAAAAAGGAAAGTAGAACAAGATTAAAAAGTGGACCATTAGTCAAAACTCTTTTTTTATAATTTAAAGTAGTATTAAAAGCTGGGTGTTTTATGCGTTAATGCATTCTGTGCACCCTCCCCCCACTTACCTGCAGCCACTACTCTCCTCCGCCGCGACAGGGAAGATACATGGGTTCTCCCAAACTTACTGGTTGCGGGGGAGGCTTGAAATCTCAGTGGGACCCGGATAGCAAAAAAAAAAAAAAAAAAAAAAAAAAAGAAGAGAAAATACCCTGAAGGTTTAATGTTGCTTTAAGCTGTGCCCAGACAATGCACAGTAATGTATTTACATGTTCTAAACAAACAGTAAAAGTGCTTTAAAAAAGCCCTTCTCCATCTCTGTAGCTATAGGCATTGTGGAGAAATGCATCTTCCAGTTCACAACAGCAGCACTGAAATCATATCTTCTTCCCCCTTTACTTTCTATAGAGAGCAGAATCTTTGCAGGCTGCCATTCCTCATAATGTGAACACACAGCAGATGTTTCCAAGCTGTTTTTACTGCTTGATGAGAATATGTAAGTACGTTAATGTCAATGAAGGTGCACCTTAACCCAAAATGAGGAAGGGTTAAACCCCTGTCAGGTATGTGTCCCTGATAAACACACAAAGTAGGAAAATCTCTCCCACACATACAGGAAAAAAAATTTGGAAGACAATATAACCTTTCCCTATCCTACAAATTCAAGTTCTTTTATTGTCATTGCTCAGTTTAAAATATTGCCCTAATGTTTTGTCCCAGACACACACTAGGAATTAAAAATACAACTACAAATCCCCAACCATATAAAAACAATTCCCAAACTGTTCTCGCTCTCTCCATGTTCCAGTGTCGGAGGTCCTCTTAAGGGCAGAACAACACTGTCATTCTGCCCATTTCCTGTGAGCCCTGCCTGTAGTTTGTCCTACCTATGGGGTGTCATCACAGAGGCTGAGCTCACAGTGCTCCAGGACTGAGGGGAGGTCACAGCTCATTACAAGAACTCCGCTCAGTCCAGGAGAAACTGACCTTGCACCCCCCTCCTTACCGCTAGTAGGAGAAGAAGTTGTGGTTACATCACTGGGCCAGTAAAAAGGTGTGTATAGGGGGGGGGACTAGTATGGGGGGGACCTTGCAGATTTTGTGCCTGGAGTTCTATGTTAATAATAAATTAAACAGTAAAACAAATGAAAATGAACACAATAGGCAAGTGCTGCAATACTTACCTTTCCACATAAAGGAGAGTCTTTTTGTAGATATTCTGCTGCCAAAATGTGACCATGTACTACATTCTCCACATACGTAAAATCCACCAAATTCTGCCCATCACTAGAAAAAAAATAAACAGCAATATGCAAGGTTTGCTTTGTGGATAAATAAGCGGATATACGCAGCTCTTTCACTTACTAATAGTAGAAAGAATTCAGAAATAGGAGCTTGGAAATAAATTCCTTGTGGCTCTGCGGCAGACTGACATCCAGAGGCACCGGCTTGTAGAGCAGATACAGGCAAACAGCAGGAGTATTAGGGATACACCGTCTGGAGAGGCCCCGGGGGTGACAGGCTGGACATGCCTAGGTAAGAGGGGACAGACTTTCTTGTTAATCGGGAAGCCGGGTGCCGAGTCTTTACACGCTGCTCGACTAATCAGGAAGCCAGGTGGTGAGTCATTACACGCCACCTGGCTTCCCGAATGGGACTTCCGTTACTCTGTAATTGGTATCGGCGAGTACCGGAAAAAAATGATCGGTACTCGGTACCAAAATACCGGTATCGGTGCATCCCTAAGTAAGTATTAAACAATTCTATCACCTGTCCAACCCCAAGGGCAGTTGCGCTTCAGACCCTTCTTTTCTGTTTTTTGCAATTAAACAATTCTATGCAGGTCTGCTATGGCTCTAAATACTTGGCAGAATCGGTGTTAACAAACACTTTTCTGGACAGAGTACTTTCAGGGTATAATAAATATGAATTAAAGTGTAAGTCCGAACAATTATTTAAGGATTGCCAGGTTTATTTTGGGTAACAAATAAACTGTAAAGAGGTATATGCCACTTCCAGAATCTGCGGCTCTCATATACAGGAGCTGTATCGTCGTTTGTCCGTACCTCCTCTATCCTTGTCTTTTCAGAGTGAACCACTTACAGAATACAACGCTTTCTGTGAATGGACACGGGGAGAGGAGGGGTAGATAAAATTAGGGCTGTGCAAATTAACGATTAATTTCTCGATTAATCGTTAATCTTTTTGATCGATTAATTTTTTTTTAAAACTCTCTGCACAAGCGCCAGCCAAGGCATTGGCCTATACACATACAGCACAGCAATGAAGTCATACAATGAACTAGGATCACACTAATCCAGCACGTTATTATTCTGAGTTGCCCCACATGAGATTAATAACGTGCTGGATTAGTGTGATCCTAGTTAATTTTATTACTTCATTGCTGTGCTTTATGTGTATAGGCCAATGTAGTTGGATCTGTATGTGCATTATAATTAATCAAAATTAATCAATTAATCGATTAAAAAAAATTTCCATTAATTGAACACAAAAAATGTAATCATTACCAGCCCTAGATAAAATGGCATCTGTGTGTGAGAGCCGCAGCTCCCCTGTCACAATGCCGGAAGTATAGCAACTTGTATCAGAGAAACAGTAAATAATAAAGAAAAGGCAGTGAATTTGGAGGTGGCATGCACCTCATTACAGTTAACTATCTGTTACCCAGCACAAAAGATCCTGGAATTGTGCTTAAGGTTGTGAAGAGCAGTAAAGGAGGATTAGAACCCTTGTAGGCTTTGTACTGCGATCTGGTGCCCCATTAGAGATTTCACATCAATTACTGTTACAGCTGCAAAGGTTCCACCAGAGAGGAAGTGAGGTCAAATGTACAACAGGGGCCCAAATAGCAATACAAATCTAACAGGGGTTCTAGTCTTCCCCTACTTTAGTAAAACTGCACCAATGCATCAAATGGCATGGAAAGGAGAATACACTGCCACTGCCAAATTAACAGTAAGAGTTTTTCCCTTTGTGGAATGTTTTTCTAACACCACATTAGGGTTTGGTGACCAGAATAGATATAAACAGTGCAAATACATAACAACGAGATAAGGTGAAACCCACCTCACCACTTACCCAATCATGAATTTCATTTTGCCACTTTTAGCGGTGTCCACCATTATCGGAACCAGCTGGGGGTCTCTAGGGCCAAATATACCATGAGGCCGAATAGCCACAGTTAAGAAGTTATTTGATGGGTCATTTGCAGACAGAACTTCCTGAAAGAAGCAAGTTCATTATGTTAGAGCTTTGTCACTTTACTCCAACCAGAGAATGGGGTGGTGGGATAATAAATGCAAAGTGAACATAGGTAAAGGGGGAAGGGGTTCAATTAAGTGAACCTGTTCCTTTGCCATGCATGGGCATACACAGCTTTACTATACAGATCAATTTAGCTAATTATTGGTCCTGATATGTCAAAGTGAGGTAATGCATTTTAGGGTTCTCTTTTTTTAAGTGGGAAGTTACCATGCAGTAAAGGTGATTTTCATATGAATTTGCATCGGAATAGTCAAACGGGGGCCAAATACATAGGGATACCATGTGAAAAGAATATTGCAGGACACTGCTTCTCTTTTTGAAGCAGAATGCATAAATTCCAAAAACACAAATCCCCCTTGTCATCATAAACGCTCACCTTCTCCTGAAGGATCTTGGTCTCTGTGTAATAGTCGATGGGTTTCTCGGCATACGGCAGATCCTCTGACCCATTCTTTATGTCCTTGCCTTCAAAAACAACACTGGCACTGCTGGTCAGCACTAGCTTCTGGAAATACACAAAGACACAGACTTAAGAGCTAAAGATTTAAAGGGATTACTCTCAACTTTCTGGATAACTTGTCTCCTGTAAAAGTGTACAAACAGCTACTGTGAGAGCGAGGTGTGACACTTTACTGCACAATGGAGAGGAGTTGTGTACAAATGCAGCTCTAATATATACATATACATATACATACACACACATACACATACACACACACAGCAATAAAATAACTTTTTTTTTTCATTTTTCTTACATTGAAAACATAAAAAGGTAGAAGTCAATAAAAAGTATTTTTTAATGTATCTTGATAGTAAATTGTATTAGGTTTTATGCTAAGTCACTTTAGAAACTGACAGTGACATGTAAGGATCTATGAATGGCTCTTCTAGCGAACACATTTCCCTTTTTTTCTTCTTCTTAGCTGTACTCCGCATCATCTGTAGCTCAACTATACTTCGCTCTTGTCGTTTCTCTTTCTGCTGAGGTCCCGGCCTGCTCTGCTCCACCATCATCTGCATCCCCTTCTCAGGAGACTGGTCAGAAGCTCTGGCCAGCTTGCCTCTACTGGGTGAACCTGTGAATTCAAAATACTGGAGGCAAAGTATACGCAGAGAAACATGTACTTCAGAACTGAGAATACAAAGCACCCTATAACATGCCCCAGTCTGTTGATAGATCAATCAATGAAGGTTTGTCACGCTCCTTTGTTCAGTAAGGCAGCAAGCAAAAAAGAAGAGGAGGTCATTGTACAGCAAGTCCATAGCATGAAACAAATACATATTTAAGCCACTAACTAAACTTAGGTCAGCTCCTGAATAGCAGTGTGCTCTTCAATGGGTTCCCCAAAACAAGCAGGCAACAAATCAGTCAGCTCACATAAATAAATGCCTGTGGGCAGCTAAGACTAATAATGAGGTCTTGCTACCAGCTAAAACGTCCAAAGCTCTACAAAGCCCCTGGACCGAGTACTGAAGTTATTGAGATTCCAAAAAAAGAAAAACGTTTTCTCCATATCAGCAATAAACACTGGAGCCCCTCACAATGTAGATGTGAGAAACCTAGGTGATACATATACACTGTCCACAGTCCTGCCAGCCTTATCTATCTACACACACAGTGTATGCATCTTTTTATGAAAAGAAGCCTAGAGTGCCATCTGTTGGCTGAAAAAGTAAACTTATTGTTATGTTATATATTTAGGATCCACTACTCAAATGATAAAAAGCATAAGAGATATATACAGAGATAGAGAGATAATGTTTTATGTACACACACTCAGAGATCACTGATCGCTGAGTGTTAGTACCTTGCTCTCCTCTCTGACACGCTGTCACAGCAGGCTGAGCGAGCGGTATGGGAGGAGAGCTCAGCCTCCTGTGACAGCGCGGCCTGTCTCCGCCCACACACCGCTCAGCCGGACTGTGACAGGAGGCTGAGCGGTGTGGGAGGAGAGACGCCGGCCACTCACAGCACTCTCCTCCCGCAGCGCTCGGCTGGCTGTCACTTTCTCTCCTCCCCGCTGGGACACAGAACAGCGCCCAGCGGGGAGGAGAGAAATCAGGGATGCACCAATGTATCGGCAGGAAAATGTCATGTTCGGCATTATGCCAAAAGTGCAATTTTTGTGTTTTTTTTGTGATATGTTTCGGCGGCCCATATATCGGTGCATCCCTAATTTCATGTACGAAAAATGAAGCAAGCCTGCTGGACTTACACTGAAAGACAAGACACTGAACATTCAATTCAGAAATGTAAATCTACAGTAGGTCTGCTCCTCCGGGTAGGTGAATTTCATATCACCAGTAACAATATGTTAACATAACAAATTTTCCCAAATATTGTACATTTATGGGACAACTGTACCTTTGACCTAAAATCCTCTAAGCCACTCTCCCAAACTAACCTACTCCATTCTATCCAGTCAGTATTTGATGCCCATGAAAGTCCGGTTTAACATGATTGTATCCTGAGTGTGGTCCATATGCTCCAGTTTGATCCTGTGGTGCTGGTTAATTTAATCTTTCCGCATACAGAAAGTGCCATTTAAAAGTATAATCATTTTCTGTGAAGGTTTTCTCCTGAGTAGTGTGCAGGCTGTAGGGTAGATAACAGTTCTTGTTTTACAGACTTTAATTTGCATTGAATGGATGAATAGCACCATATGCCAGATAAGGCTGTTTAAAAGGCCAACTGAACTATTAGTTTAAATCAGTTAAATACAATCAAGGGGTATCAAAACAAAAAGTGTTCAAAGCCTTACAGTTCATTTTTTTGCTGCAACAGCCCGAGTGAAAAAGCCTGTCCTCTGTCAGCAGCTGGAAAGTGGGACTTTAACCTCTGCATGGAAGCAGTAGTCTCTCTACAGAGGTCTGACACACCCCTTGCTGAGTCAGACCTATAGCTATGCAGCTGATTTGCAAGTTCCAGCTATCTTCCAGTTATCTCTATAGGTTGAGCTAGATGAACTTGTGTCTTTTTTCATCTTGGCTAACTATAAAACTATGCAACTTAGCAGGGGTGTGTCAGACCTCAGAAGAGAGACCACTGCTTCCACACAGAGAGCAAGGGTCACAGTCTGCAGCCGGCTGGCAGGAGACAGGTGAAAACGACCTGCAAGACTTCAAACACCATTGTTTTGATGCACCTGGAATGTATTTAGCGGATTAAGGGCTTGTTCACATGGTTTTCTGGTCCAGATCTGGAGCAGATCTGCAGACGCGGTGCTATGCGTGCAGTGCGTTTTTGACGTGTTCCAGTTAAAAAAAAAAACAACATTTTTTTGTTGGGAGTGGGGCTGTCAGTATGTTAGCTGCAGTGCGGTGCGTTTTTGACGCGTTTGTGCGTTTCCAGACCGGACAAAATGTGACATGCAGTATTTTCTCTGTCCGGACCGGAACGGACTGCGCACGTGAGTACCGTAGCCCATAAAACAATCCGGACTTCATGTGAACAAGCCCTTAAACAGAACGTTTCGTTGGGCTTAAAAGCAAATCTGTTAATGGGAAAAAATATCACCACCACTTCTACTGTGTGCCAGGCACCATTGGGTGCTTCAACTTATCCTTAGCGCTCCAGGCAGCTCTAATTCCTGATGGACCCTGGGAAAGATACTGGCCATACTGGGATCACCAACAGAGAAGAAAGGAAAGTATGAGCAATATTTGATGCCTTTGTAATGGCCTCTGTGAAATGGAGAGATAGGAACAGTAACTAAGAACACAATATTGTTCCGCCATGTCCCAAAGAGAAATAAGTAGTCCATGAGTGATTCATCCCACCAGTGTCTGCCAAAAACTCAGGCTGGGTGGGTATAGCAATTAAAAGCTTTTATTAGTCTACTCACTTGTACACCAGCATCCTTACAGGCTTCAATGACTGTCCTTGTTCCAGTGTAGTTAACTCTGTAGAATAGTTCTTTGTTGTCGCTGGAAGGGGCCGGGGATGCACAGTGAAACACGACGGTCACATCCTGAAGTGCTGGCAATAAATCCTGGTGTTATAAAGAAAAAGCAGGATTATAAACACACACACATATTTACAAGCATGCATATGTACTCAGTACTTGGTTTGGGCCCCTTTTGCAGCACTTACTGCAATTATTTTTGCACGATATTCTAATTATTCGAGTTTCACCTGTATATACGGCTACTGGCGATACTATACTATAGCTCATAAAATAGAAAAAGCAAGCACCCATAATGATCCTGTGCTGTATATTGAGGGCTCAACAAGATAATTGAGAAAAAAAAAAAACATGTTCCTCCAACAAAGTTTCGGGAGCCTCACAGGACGGCCTTCTGTCATGTTTCTGCCATTGTTTTTGGTCACCTGTTTTACTAAGCCCTCAATAAACAACAGAGGCTCATTATGGGGTGCTGGCGTTTTCTATTTTATGAGGTTAGAGAAACCAGTCCTGAGTGCCATTGTATCCTCCCTGAGAATGTAGTATCAGCCTCTTTGCAGCAACTTGCAAGCTCAGCTGAACCAAGCTTAAAATCAATACGGTTGTCAGCCAAGAGAATGTCCTCATATTTACGGTGCCCAAAAAATGACAGCAGAGGGCAAATGTTTCTGGGACTTTCTTACTGATTTGTTTGCTCATGGTCCACATGGAATCACTGCCTAAATACAAAAGGAGACAAAAACAGATGGTCTGAGCAGGATGAATATATTTTACCTGTTTATTGCAGAGATCACCAATAAAAAACTGGACACGCTCATTCTCAAAGCCCTGCCGCACATCAAACACATTAACGATGTATCCTTTTTCTAGCAAGCGCTCCACCATGTGTTGACCAAGGAACCCAGAGCCCCCGATGACTGTGCATTTTTTGCTGGCCTGGAGTAAGACAAAAAAGCAAAAATTTTATATTGACAGAGATCTCAGACATCACCTGAGGAAGTCTTCTGGAAATTGTATGTGGTTTAATATTAAGAGTGAAATGTGATACTGATGGATTTAAAAGAAAGCACATGTGCATGTTATTTTAATCGACCACAACGTCACATAATCCGTGTGGTCTCTTGCCGAAAAAAACCCTCCTACTGGTCCTGTAAACTAAACCTGTGACACTGCTGTAAAATGATGGTGAATTGCCACGTCCAGTGTCACTACTCATCAAAATTTGGACAACTGGATATTCTGGGCATCACGAGAGGTCAACCTTGCCTCTTCTAATTGGCAGCAAGACCTTTGTCAGTTTAGTTCCATTACCATTATTCATTGATGCATCATGACTGTGATATATATATATATATATAAGATGCAAAGATATTCCTTCTCCTGGCTCATAATTTTTTAAAAATCACTGCAGAGCATCACTGTCACTTTTTTTTTGTATAATCAAATCAGAAAGTGCCAGAAATGTACTGTATATTATTATTACACAGGTGTCAAAAA